TTTAAATAAAAAATATAGAAAATTTTAATTTTAATTTCTACTATTGTATTTAATTAAAAATTAAAATCACACAAAAGAAAAATATGATAATTAATATGAGAAATAATTGAATTATGTTAGCTACAATATTGAGATATAATAATAATTGCATTGAAATATACATATAATAATTATTAATTAACTGAATAATTTCATTGAATTCTTAATTTATTATAATATTTTATTAAAAATAAATATTTCATAAACTCAGAAACATCTCTCAGGTAATTTCTAGTAATTGACTGTATTTTAATATTGCTATTAATTTATTTTCTCTATATCATATTTAAAGTAAATTATATTATTAATAATACATACATACATATATATATTTTATCATAAACATTACAAAATATTTTACTTGATCTCAAATTATATATGTAAATAATTTATTTTATATTAGATTTTTATTTATGAGATTATTTAAAAACATTTTTTTGTAGTACTTTTTTACTCAATAGAGGGCGATATTGATTCGTTCTTTCCGGTTCATCATGGCGGTAAGTGTGGAATTAGTTGTTTTTAAGATAAATTTTATAATCTTTAAATACCAAAGACATCAAATATTAATAAATTATTTTTTATATATTATAAAAAAATTACTATTATTTATTTACTATTGATTAATATCTTTTTCATTAATATATTAGAATTATAATTTAATATATGATAGTTGATTGAGGTTTGTGATCAGCATGTATAACAAATATAACCTAGATTTATTTAATGATGTTTATAATTTTATAGTTGTAAATTAATTGTTTATATATAATAGTTTAAGAAAATAGTATGGGAAGTTAAATTAATTTATTATTAGATGTTAATGATAAAATGTTTTGAATATTTTTTTATTTTTATATATAATAGGAATGTATAATTTTGTTGAAATCGTATTAAAGTAATTTTCTTACAGGATTCAAAGAAATCTTCAGAAAAAAAAGTTGAAAAAAGAATCGAGAAAAAAGTGAGAAAAGAACCTAAGGATGCATCAAAGAATATTATGCGTGAAGTACGCATTCGTAAACTTTGTTTAAATATTTGTGTGGGTGAATCTGGTGATAGACTAACCCGTGCTGCAAAGGTACTTATAAATATTACTTATATTTTCTTTATATATTATACATATTTTTATACATATTTTTGTTAATATATTACATTTGTGTTAAATTCATAATTACATTCATAACTTTCTTCTTTTATACTTTAACTATTATATAAATATATAAATATTTTTTTTATATTTTCGTTTATAATAAGAATTGATTTTAAAAAATTAATTTTCTTTTTTATGGAATTATATTTTTATAAATAAAAATATAAATAATAAATATATATAATATTTAACAATATTAATGTATAACAATATAATTTATAACATATAATTTATAACAATATATAATATAATTTATAACAATATATATAACAATAATATATAACAATATATTATAAATATATATTATTCATTATTTCAATTATATTATTTATTTTATTTTTATAGGTATTAGAACAATTAACTGGACAACAACCTGTATTTTCCAAAGCAAGATATACTGTCCGGTCTTTTGGAATTCGCCGTAATGAAAAAATTGCAGTACATTGTACAGTACGAGGTGCTAAAGCAGAAGAAATTCTTGAACGTGGATTGAAAGTAATTCTATTACTTATATTAAATGTTTCATAATATTTTCCGTTTGATATTTTTTTTTTTTATTAAAGGTACGAGAATATGAATTACGAAAAGAGAATTTTTCTGGTACCGGAAACTTTGGTTTTGGTATTCAAGAACATATTGACTTAGGAATTAAATATGATCCCAGCATTGGTATTTATGGTTTGGATTTCTATGTTGTTCTCGGACGACCAGGTTAGTTTATTTTCATTTTATATTCTATGAAAAATCAATTTGTTAAATATATAAATATATGCACATTTGGCATAATAGTTACTACTATATTCAGTTGTATCTATATTTATAAAATATGTGCTAAAATATAGGCTTCATATTTGCAACTCATGCCCACTTTATTATACTGGGTGTGTTACTTAATTGAAGCTACAATTTATATTTATATTTATATTTATATTATAAAAAATATATTATATTATATTATAATTATATTTATAATAAAAAATGAATTGAATAGAAATTTTAATTAACTTTTCAATTAATAGAATAATAACTTAAGAAATTTTGAAAACGATAAATAATTAACATTAATGATATCATGATAATTTATTAATTTACACAGCTTAATTTATTAATTTACTATGCTTTATATATTTCATTGTAAAAAAATAATTATAATAATTGAATTATAATAATTCAAAAAAAAATAAATAACTATTGATTAATAAAAATTATTTTGTGTGTAATTTATATTATTTTTTTTTGTTTGTTAAGGTTTCAATGTAGCTCACAGAAGAAGAAAAACTGGAAAAGTCGGTTTTCAACATAGACTTACCAAAGAAGATGCAATGAAGTGGTTTCAACAGAAATATGATGGTATTATTATAGCTGGAAAGAAATAATTACATAATTTGTATTTTACATTTCTTTCATAAAACTTTTAAAAATAAAATACCTGTTTAAAAAATTTTTATTAATATTTTTGTCACATTATTATGATTCCATTTACTATATAAGAAATATATTTATTATTATAATAATTTTTTAATATTAATTTATTTTTTAATATTAATATTAATTTTTTAATATTTAATTTTATTTCATCATTTTATTTTATAACAATATTAAAACTTAAAAATTTTATAAATTATATATAGTTTTTCAAAATTAATTTCTTATGAAATATTTTGAAGATGTATCTTCAATAATAATATTTATGATAAAGCAAATCATACATATATTTACTATAGAATTTTAACAGATTTTGTTAATAAGCACTATATCATATCACTATTGTATTAAAATACATAAATAAATCGTGCATAAGAAAATAATATAGGAATATTTTATATTCCAATTATAATATTATTAAAAATTAATATATTGGTTTTAATTAATGTTTAAAGTTAGATAATTATTACATCATTTATGAAAAACAGTAAATAGTTCAATACATGAAAATACAGGCCACCATTATATAATATAATTCTATTATTTATTATATATGGTATTTATTTATGTTATTTTCTTTGCAAAAGATTATGAGTAGATAAATTAATAAGAAAATTTTATTTAATATCATGATTTGTTTAGATTTCATTCTCAAGAGATCGCGATATATTTGAAAGATATAAATATTACTTTTAAGATAACTTTTAAAACTGCTATCTTCCAAGGAAATGTAATTTTAAATAATGAAAAAAGAATTTATAATTATAGTTTTATATCTCTTATAATAAAAGTATTCTTTAGAAATGTGAACTAATTATATATTTTCTTTTTTTAATTTCAAAATCCATTATTATTAATTCTTTATGATAATGATAAAATATTTGCATAAAATATTTTTAATTAAAATTTTAAGCAAAATGTTCACATTTCTATGAATATATTTTACATTTATTTTTTGAAATAGAAATGAAAATTTGATATTAATTATTATATTTTGTTTTTATTACTATAAAAATGTCTACAAAATAAAATTACTAAGGGTATTGGAAAAATATAATATTAATTAATTTTTTATATAAATAGTTTATTTAAAATATTTTTAAGTCAAATATGTACATTAATGTTCATATCTGTATATATATAAATAATATATAAATTTTAGTTTATTGAAATATACTGAAACTGAAATTGTTTTTTTGAATAATGATATTTTTAAAAAATATAAATACATTTTACTACATGAAATACTTTTATTACATGAAAATAAATTTATTTTCCAGTACCCTTATAATAGTATTCTAGTATTATCAAAATATAATTATAATAAAACTTGAAGCATAATTATTTTTTTCAAACTGTATTATCTAATTAATATTAGTTATTAATAACATACATACATATAACAAAGTATATAGTATTTTTTTTTTCATAATCTATTTTATATTTAATAATTTTTTGCTATTTATATGTATCTTTGGTTTTAATCTAATAATATATATAGTATCATGATATTAATATTTAATATCGATTTTAGCAATCAAAACAAACACAAAAACTGATATATAAAAATTGAAAATTATTTATTAAGTTATAAACTAAAA